AAGCACGGTGACAGGAGTGGCTTAGTCTACGTTGGAAGGAGCTTGTGGCAGAGCAGCTGTTCACAGCTTGGCCGAAAAGGAGGCCAAAGAATGGGACCAGAAGTCTGGTCAGGCTGTAATGCTCAAAGGCCTGCCTGTCGTGATCCACTTCCTTCAATCAGACCCCACTTCCTAAAGGTTACACAGTCTCATAAAAGCAAAGCCACTGCCTTGGGACCAAGATGCAGACACTGCGGCCCATGCAGAACATGGCACACTCAAACCCAAACAGTGCAGATTAGCTTGATGAATGCACCGTTTGTTTACGAGGCTAGCTGTGAGGTCACAGCATTGCTTCAATGAGTTTCTGTCCCCTAGAGTAGGTCAGCAGCAGGTCCAGCCCATGTCTAGACGGGCTTATAAAGCCTGAGGATCTGAGGGAGCTAGTTGTCTGGGGATTGGGTTCCTCTCAGTCTGCCTTCCTTATCTCTGGGCCCTGCTCCCTGCCTCTCAGAGGCCGGTCAATATAGCTGTTACTTATTCTACTTATGTAAAGGGGCTTTGTAATTCAGCACTCTTGCCCAGGGCTGGAAATGTGTCCTTTACCATTGTGAACATTTGGTCTCTGTGGCATTCAGAAGAGGAGAATGTGCCAGGACTTTGGGATGTTGTCACAGTCCAATAAAAGGAAGGAAGGGGTTCTTCAGGGACTCAAAAGTGAAGAGGCACAAATACCAGCAGGCCTCGCATGCCCTGGACTCCCCTGTTGTGTGCTCTGGGGTCTGGTGAGTGATTCGGTTCTTGGTCTTTACAAAGACAATCTTTTCTTCTTAAGACTTTGCCAGAGAAACAGACCCCACCCTAAGGCTTCACCAAGCAGAGGCCTGGAGGTTATGAGAGAAGGCGATTCAGTTAAGAAACTGATCCCAAGAAAAGGAAAGTCATTTATGCAAGCATCTAGAATTTTCTGCACACCCATGCGGCAGTTAGGGCAGGACTTAGGCACACATGGTTACTACCATGGATGGAAAACAACGGCAGCTAAGACAGTATTGTCAGAACTCCCGCTCCCTCCCAGTACAGATGATGATGTCCACCCACCATCAATGCACAAGGAGGGGATAGGAAGGCCCCAGCATGTTGGGAGATTGCTTGATGGCTCCTGCACCAGAGAGAGCCCTGTCCCTTTTATTCTCTTTCCTACTATCCCTTCTGTAGACCTTAGAGTCCTCAGCCTTTGGTTCCTCTTTTTATTTTAAAAGATTTATTTTATTTTTAAGTGTGCAATGTGTGTGTGTATATGTATGTGATAGCAGGTGCCTGTGGAGCCCAGAAGAGGGCGTTGGATCCTCTGGAGCTTGAGTCACAGGTGGTTGTGAGCTATCCTACTAGGGTGCTCAGACCTAAACGTGCATCCTGTACAAGCGCAGGATGTGCTCTTAGCGGCTGAGCCGTCTCTCGAGCCCCAGTTCTCATGTGAAAGGAGTCAGTCTTCATCTGTGCATCTTCCAGAACTATTTACAGAAACCTGGCTTTGATTTTTAACCCCCCACCAGCCTGTACCCACCTTTCCAATGATTTAGGTCACCTCCCCACTTTCCTCCTTCCTCCTCTTTCTTTCTGGGGATCCACCCATCTCCTGTGGTCTCATCTTTCTCATGTTGATCAGCCTGTGCCTGCCCACAACACTCTGTGATGCTGGCAATCACCCTGGCTGGGACCATCTTGGGGCTTTGGCTACTTACAGTGACAACTTGCTGGGAAGCCCTGGGCCACCTTTGAAGTTGGGCTGGCAAAGATCTCGTTTGTTTGGCTTGATCACAAATAAACTGCCATGTTACTCTGTAATGTTTCCCCACCCATTCAAAATCACCGAGCACTTAGTGCATTCCAGTGATGTATTTTGGCTGTGGGGCAGGGATGTGAACAGGATCGAGTTTGTAACCCGAGTCACAAATTGGTAAGCAATTTGCTGCTTTGTTACTAACCGAACCATTATAGTACAGTGGAAAAGACCTGGATGGATGAGTGACTTGGTTAGGGCTCTGTCATGGTGATAAGACACCATAACCAAAAGCAACCTGGGGGATGAAATGGGTTGTTGAAGCATATCACTTACTGTTTACTGAGGGAGAACAGAGCAGGAACCTGGAGGCAGGAACTGAAGCTCATACCACGGAAGAATGCTACTTATTGGCTTGTTCTGTAGGGCTTTCTTATACACCTGCCCTGGGCTGACTACACCCACAGTGAGCTCGCCACTTGCATATCAAGATAACAAAATGCCCTGTGTACTTGCATGCGGGCCAATATGATGGAAGCATGTTTTCGGGTGAGGGTCCCTCTTACCAGAGGACTCTAGCTATGTTAAGTGGACGAAACAAACAAGAAACAACCTAACCAGCACAATGTACAAACTATAGACATGCAATTGCCCTCTCTTTCCATGCTGAGCCTAGTTTGGATGGTCACTTGGGTGGTTGCCATGATAAAAGTAAACATTACTGATGCCAGGTTGTTTTGACTGTGTCTGCAAAAATAGCCCATTTCCTATCTCCTTGGGGCAAAAATAACAAAAACGACATTAACCATTAGCTTCTCCCACTGAGGTAACCAGGCAGATGCAGATTAACTCCTAGGGGCTTTGAACAACTACCTTTAAAAGATTGGTTTATTTAATTTTTTATGTGTATGAATATATTACCTACATGTAGGCATGTGTACCACGTGTGCACCTGCTGCCCCTGGAGGCCAAAAGAGGGTGTCAGATCACCTGGAACGGGAGTCACAGACTGCTGCTAGCCACCACCATGCAAGTCCTGGGAATCAAGTCCCATGGTCCTCTACAAGTACTCTTAGCTGCTGAGCCAGCTCTCCAGCCCCCAAAGCCACACTTTGATCCCTACTCATTGAAGGGTAGACTTAGAGTTTAGACTTACAAATGTCAATACTAGGAACGGAGGGCTGCGTGGAGAATAGAAGGAAGCCTCATGAATTTGCATTTTGAAAGAGATAGGTAGACGGAGGATGGAAAAAGTAGAGTAAAAAGCAATTGGTACGGCTATTGACCAGCTGATTCGTGTGTCTGGCTTTAGTTTTCTCCTTTGCAAAACAACGATGTTAACAGGGTGCACCTGGTGGGGTTGAGGTGCAGCCTGAGGAGAAAGTGAATTTAGAGCCCAGAGAGCAGACACTGGTCTGGAGATGGCTCAGCACTGAGAGCTTACTGCCCCTGAAGAGGACAGAGTTCAGCTCTAAGCACCCACGTTGGGTGGCTCACAACCGAGGTAACCAACTTCAAGGGATCCTCCGATGCCTCTGGCCTCTGGGGATACCTGTACTCACCTAGACAAACACATAATTAAAAATAAAAAGGAAATCTTAAAAACAAAACAAAAAGCACACACACATTGGTGTTGAAGTTGGGAGAGAGCGTCAGGAAGGGTTGGTGCAGAGGAGCCCCTGGACTTGGAAAAGTCACTTCACTCAGACTTGCAGAAAGCGAGGCTATTGTTTCCTCATCTATAAGTGACCGAGTTTCTCAGGACCGCGAGGAATTCTGGTTGGCAGTCTTCTTTGACCATCTTTTCTGCTGGTGCTATTCTGGGAGTGTGTTCGCACATGATCTCTCTCTCTTTCTGTCTCTCTCCTTTATCTCTGTCTCTTTCTCTCCTCTGTCTATCTGTCTCTCTCTCTGTATATCTCTCCTCAGTCTCTTTGTCTCTGTCTCTCTCTGTATCTCTCTCTTTCTCTCTCCATTTCTGTCTCTCCTCTGTTTGTCTCTGTCTCTGTTTCTCTCTCTCTCTGGACAGTTAGGAAGTTCATGAGGAGACAGCTTTGCCCGTACATTGAAAGGTGAATGGAGATATAGACAGTGTCTTCCCTTTCCCCGAAGCACTTTGGCCTGCTGGTAAACTCAAAGCGTGCTCACCAGGTTCTTATTGACTAGGTTCCAGCTCTTTTTTTTTAATGCAATTATATTTTTATTAGCTTTCAAAGTTTTTCAAATAAGTGAAATATAATATTTGTGGCTAAAAGAGAGGTATAAACAAAGCTAAAGACAACACTGACTTCATTGTTTTACACCTTCACATCTTGATTTATTTCTTTTATTTCTTTTATTATTATTATTTATTTATTAAAGATTTCTGTCTAGGTTCCAGCTCTTTAGCTCCTCTCCACCTTTAGCTCCTAGCACTGTGACAGGTTTCCTAAAATGGCAGGTCTGCCTTCACCTCGCTCTTGTCTTTGCTAGGGGGCAGCAGAGTGCTCCGGCAAGCCCCTAGGGGTTGACCAGAGTAGGTCACCTCTTAGCTTGACCACCCAGAAGTCCCTGGGGCTCTTGCTCCCTTGCTCAACCCTTGATGAGTCAATGTCCTCATCTGCAAAATGGGGTGCAGGATAATAATGACACCTACCCCGAAGCGTGGTCGTGAAGATTGGTTGACGTAATGGGTGCTCAGCCCTCCCAGGTGGACACACAGTAATCACTGAATAAACGTGATGGACAGCCTGTGTCTGGCTTCCTGCGACTTGCATTTCTGGTCTTCAACTTAGTCACTTCCTCTGGGAGCCTCCTTCTGAGGACTTGGGGACGGTTGCACGCTCCCAGAACACCTGCCCGTCTTCTACCATAGCAACGATAGCTGTCGCCTCTTAGGGTCCCTATCAGGGTGAAATTCTGTGAAGACAGGGGTTGGTCATTTACTAGGAGGCACAAATAATAGGCGCTCAGTAGTTACTGAATAAATGACACAGAGCAAGGGTCCCAGTGGTCCTCTGGATTTGACGGAAACACTGGGGTCGTGAGGTCGAATGGATAGGCGTCAGAGAGAGGAACCTACAGTGTGTGCAGGAAGACTGGACGGGGAGATTCGGAGAGGAGAACGCTCAACTTTGGGGAGAGAATGAGGCCAGACGGGTCTAGCTGGCACTCTTTGGCTCCGCCCCCTTCCAGGCTGCTCCCAGACCCCGCCCCCCCTGGCTCCAGCCCTGCGGAAGCTACAGCCTCAAGTGTCTGAGCCTCCCCCGCGCAGGGTGCGCCCCGCACGCTTTATCCTGCCCCGGAGCAGCGCGAGCACCCAGCCCTCGTTCCACAGCCGCTGCGAGATGCTGCGCTCCACGTCCACCGTCACCCTGCTCTCAGGCGGCAGCGCCAAGTCTCCTGGGACGCCCAGTAGGAGGGTGAGTAGCTAGCTGGAGAAGGAGCTGCCGGGTTCTCCTGCACCCATCCCTGTTGGCCCCTCTGTAGAGATGTGGGGAGGAGGATAGTTAGGGGTCAGCTGCAGGCCACAGACATCTCAACTTGGCTCAAGTTTCCTGGCCTGTTCCAGACTGCACAGTGACCCTCCCTCTGGACACCCCAGCGTCTGGAAGAGAGGGCTTAGGGGACTTTCTGGAATGCCCAGAACTTCCCTCTCTTTCTTGTCTCCACTGTCAAGCCAAGATTAAACGTGGCACTAGTTAAAAGATGGCAAGGAAGAGGTTTCTGAGGTCCTTATCATGAGAAGCACAAGTAATGAATGTATTTAAAATGCCAGCTTTCCTCCATCTCTTGGTTCGGAGCATCGTCTGTGTGTCCATCCACCAGTGATAGTGCCTTTGGTTCAGGAGCCGCTTGTCGAAGGTAGCCTGTCTGCAGGCCAGAGCTGAGCAGCTGACCACCCTCAGCGGGGCAGGACTTAGTTTATGCAGGCAGGCAGTTTCTTCTTTGTGGCATCGGGGCCAGTCTTAAAGTCCTGGGCATCCTCTCCAGGGAGGTTTCCCTACGGAAATCTGGTTAGCCACTGTCTCTGCACAGTCTGCTCTCACCTGCATATCTCCTCATGCTTCCTTCATGAAAGAACGACCGGACTAGTCAGGTTCACATTCCATGCCCTTTCTAAAACCAGGGCCTCAGAGAACACTGTTAGAGCCTGGGCTGTAGCTTTCTAGTTTTGGTGTTATGATACTGAGTTCTCACCCACTCTCTTAATCGTGTTTCCCCACGGTTCATTTGAACAGGTTAAGTCCAAACCAAAAACCCCTTCTGTAGTCAGGCCAGTTTGCTTGGCCTGTAGACGCTCTTGTAGGCGGCTATCTTTCTTCAAAATACACAAAAGGCACGTGTTGCTTTTGGGTGTGGGTCAAGTGATGTGTGTGTGTGTGTGTGTGTGTGTGCATGGTAGACACCCAAGGCTGACAGAACTCTGGTTGTTTGATCATTAACTTCATAAAGTAAGCATCACATTTGGTTAGTCCAACCATAGTCCTGCCTTACTGCAAAAAGAGTGTTTGACCTTTCCCATGGAAAGCTTTGTTAATTAGAACAAAATTTTGGTTGACAATACATGAAACCATTGAACAGATAGCCCTGAGCTGTGTACAGCACTCCCTCTCCCCTGGGGGATGCTGGGTGAGGTAGATAGTGGGATCCTGTGGGTAAATACAGATGTGGGTGAATACAGATGTGGACGAATATAGATGTGGGCGAATACAGATGTGGGCGAATACAGATGTGACTATGCATTCAGAGCATCTTTGAGAATTTTGCCCTTGAATGGTACTTTGGTGTCTGGACACACCGTTGAGTAAGATTATACCAAAACTTTAGGCTGAAGAACTCAGGCTTCTGACTGGAGCATCCTGTCACCTCTAAGGCTCCAGGTGCTGTGTGTGCATGTGTGTGTGTTGGCGCTGGCGGGGAAGCTATGTGTTGGGAAGCTAAGGTGTGTTGATTGACTGACTGACTCACTGAATATTTATAGATCTATTTCTGTGTGCTGTAAGGCTGGGTGCTTGGCTCCACTCCGTTCCTTGAGGCAGACATTGTCACAGATGATATACAGTGGTGATTTTTGTTGTGAGCAGGGTGTTTCCAGGGTTCAGTGACACTAGAAGGAAGTCTCTCTCTGAGGTGTGTGAGGCAAGCCTCTCCCTGAAGGTGAGCTGATGGTCTTCCAGCAGGAGCAGGCGTTTGAAGCCAATTAACACGACTGATTGTGAAAAGAGGATTATCATTCCTCTCAGTGGATGCTTGACATAGACTGTATGGTAATGTGTGTCAGACCTGCTTTGGAACAAAACACCTATTTAAAAAAACCTTTTTAGAAACACAAGAAAATAAATTATACACTAAATGAGTAACCATGAGAAATGTTTCTGAAATTGAAAAGTTTTCAAGAAATCCTGTATCCTCTCATCTCTTCCCTGGGATTGGACACAAGATGATCTCAAACCAGAATACTTTGGGGCGTGTTTAACCTGTTACTTTTAGGCTGCTCGTGGTGGTCAAGGGTAGCCATGAATGTAGTCCAACACCAAATCATGAACGTTCTTAAAACACTGTGAGATGCTTTTGTTTGTTTGGAAATTTAACTGCATGGTTCGTGCGTGTGAACTTTGTGTAGGACAATGCTGAGCCTCAAAGTCAAAAGGTCTGCTAGCTATTAAAATAGACCAGCTTTATCCAAAGGGCTTATCAAAGTGAAAAGCAGGCCTTGCTGTCGCAGACGTCAAGCCAACCAGAAGTAGTAGTGGCCGGTGACACTGTGCAGGAGCTGCCCTGAGTCAGCTGTGAGGGTAGTGTGGCCAACCAGGCTGTCACAGGTCACCCTTTGTTCAGCGACTGCCACCTGCAAATGTACTTACTTCCCTCTTATCTGAAATCATCCCCGGGGGAGGGGGAAGCCTGCTGGAGAGGGTGATTTCTGTTAGTGGATAAACAAAACACCAAGAAACATTCATACACGCTAACCAGTGGGAATTGAAAAAGGAAAAAGCTCTACCTTCAAACCAGTTGTGCACTAAAAATAGCTTTATCTATGGCAACAGTGGGAAGATAAAGTGTTTGGAGAATAAGTACAGCTAGAAAGATGACCTTGGGGGAATGTGGGGGTGGAATTTAAAAAAAAAAAAAGCCTACATGAAGGGCTTCATTGATTTGGAAAGGGATTTTGTAATTGAAGGTTAGCCTCACAGCCTAGTTTTTTGAAATGAAGTCAGTTGTGTGGCCAGGTTGTGTTCCGGGAGTGGAAGGCAGCTCATCCTCTGGGCTGTGAGGTCCTCCACCTGTCACGGGGGCTCTCCTGCACTGGATCCTGTTGAGAAGATGACACTTGGCTGCTTAGAGCTGGGTATTGTGACTCCTTGGTGGAGTGAAAAAGCCCAACTAAAACAAACCCAAACAAGGCCCTGGGGTAAGAGTGTTTCCTAGCCAGCCCTTCCCTTGGCAAAGGCCTTCTCTCTTAAGACCCAGCCCAGGCCTGTCCATCATCACTCCCTGCTGCTGATGCTGTACTCACCAGAGCCTCCTTCCTGCCTTGTTGGTTCAAAAACAAGGAATTCCCCTTGACTGGCATGTGAAAGGGGCTGGCAGGTGTTTGCCCAGCTTCCTCTTCTCAATGGAGGAAATAGTCTATGTAGCTCTGTATCCTGTACCCTGGGGAATCCACGGAGGGCATGGGTACACAATTCTACTGTTCTGTAGGATCTGGGGAAGGGACATGGGGTTTGGGTGGAATTCAGCCTCAGATGGAAGGAAGCCAATTGCAGTATTGGCTGCGGGGAGGGAGGAGACTTTCATTGCGTTCAGAAAACTGCCTGGGTCCTGCTTGGGATCCTTTGAGCCAATTCCTGACAGGCCAGGCTGTGGTCTTATGTAGCATCACTAGAATTTAACCCAAACACCTCTGGCACTGGCATCTGACAGTTACAGGCTCAGAAAAACACCAACCTCCCCCTTCTTTTGTTTTTCTATCTTGCCTTGTTTAGGGTGGTCCGACTTGGGGCTCTGAAGGACACTTGTCTTATGGAGAGTTCCATGTTTATTCTGCAGTATATAGAATGAAAGTCTAGGCTTTCCTAGGCCACTGCAGAGGCCTAAATGTGTCCCTGTTGATGTTTTCCTGTGCTGTGCACCCACAGCCCAGCAAAGGGACCTGGAGCTCTGTGTCCCCACCAAGCTTCTTGGCGGTTGGCACCCCCTTCCAAGTCAGTGAGCCTCAGTTGCCTGCCTGATTGAGTTCAAGAGCTGACTTTGCTAGAGTTGGACCTGGGGTTCAGCCTGAAGTACTTCATCCATTACCAGCTTTGTGGCTTAAAAAGACCCCAGTACTTTTCTAGCATGTAGGAGAATAACACAGTGGTGTTTGCCTCTTTCCCTCTTCCGATGCGCTGTGTGTCCCAAATGTCAATCATATCGCTGACTTAGATCCACTCTTTATGGAAGAGAATGATCTATTCCACCATGCAAAACCCAGCCACCTGGTTCTGCCTCGGGAGCCTCTGTAAAGCCGAACTCCCGGTGTGATGTCCAGGTTCCTGACCTGACTCTGGCCTTTCTTGTCCTGTATCTCTGCAATTCCCAGGTGGTCAAGCTCCCACCTCCCACTCCTGAGTTTCCAATGCAGTTTTTCCTCTTTTCTTCTTGCCTCTCTGCTGTTGAGACTCTGAATCTGCCCTGAACCCTCATTTCCTCAGCTTGTGCAACCCACACTTGTGTGGAGCTGAGTGACCACTTGAGAAGAAGCTCTAGAGCTTCACTGTGTTAACGTGGGGCTCCCCACACAAGCGCAGGCCCTGAGTTCAAGACCGAGTCCATGTAAGTGGCTACGTGGGCTCAGCAATGCAGAGGCAGACACAAGCAGATCCCTGGGGATTGCCTGCCTACTTGTGACTTCCAGGCTACTGAGAGACCAAGTTTCAGTAAAAACCAAGGTGGGTGGCTCAAGGTGTAATGACATCCAGGGTCCCCCCAAAACCCTACTTTGCATACATTTTGGAAAGGAGAATGTAGGAAGAGACATCCTGGGATGAAGGCAGCCTGATGCTTTTGTCCTACCTGGAAGGAAGCTGGTGACAAGTGGGTAGGAATGAGAAGGGTGACAGTTCTGGCCAGGTCACCCAAGTGTCCTCCTTGCCTCTTCCTCTGCCATGGTTGGGATTTCATTTATTGGCTTAATTCGGTGACTCTCAACCTTGGTTCTACATAGACTTTTACTAGACAACTTGAAACAGTTATGTCTGGGTCTCCCTCAGAACCAACTCAGGCTTTGAACTGCATGGAACATGGGCTGAAAGGAAGGCCTAGCCCCATCTTTATTGAGAAGCAGCCCATGCAACCGTGAGTTCCTTTGAGGATAAGTGTCTCTCAAAGCTTTGCTTCCCCTTATGGATTCTTAGAAAGGCAGATATTTGGGGCAGCC